AGAAAAAACAACAAGGCATCACAAGAGCCATGGAAAAGTAACACAAATATAGCACTGCCACTTTAGATCCATAGGTAGAAGAAAGAGAGAAATACATAAAAGAATAATTTATTAATTTAGTTAACAAATATATATATAATAGTATTAAATTGATCACAACTCCTTACCATTTATTGAAAATTTTATATAGTACTAGCCCAACCTTGGCAGGTTAGTTCCCCTTAACAGGTAGCAACAAGCCATGAGGTAGGTTTTTCCTTATCAAGCTTTATTTAAAGAAGTTGATCCACTATGTTTTTTTATCAGCACCTTTTGCTTATAATTTTATTTTTGATTGGTATAAAGGATTTAGAGAATCTTCCAGTCTTCTAATATTTTAGACTTATATAAATAGATAATATACTTTTAAGACTTTGTCTTCATTTTATATTTTCTTAAACATCTTGTTCTTCTTATTTTCTTAAGTGGCAGTAAATAGTTTTTTTGAAGATTATTCACTTTTTTAAATCATTGATATAGAAGATTTCAGTATATTGTATCCACTTGCATCAGATATATGACTTATAATAGACTTTAAGTTTTTATAAAATTAAGAAAATGTATTCAAACTTATGAGATGATAATATAAGTTTGTTTACTTCTTTTACTAATATAAGCCCTATCTATCCAATTATAGTGTAAGAAAGTTTGTGTTACTCAAAATTCAGGATAAAACTGAGGTAAATAAAATTTATTAGAAAAAAACTCAAAAACAAGCACTATTAGAGTAGAATAGATGATAAAGAAAGTGAAAATATTGTCTCTTATCAACTTAAATACTTTATATTATTTTCTACTATATGAGATAACAGCACATTAGTTCTTCTTTCTTTTAGAACTTTCTTGCTATTAATAGGAAAGATGTTTCTTGCCTTTTAATTATTAAAAGTCAAGTTTTTGTTTGAAGAGAAATATAAATAAGAGAGAAGAAAAGTAAAGATAACTCTTAAAGTTTTCTTCAGAATAATTTAAAGAAAGTATCAAGACTTTATTAATATATAAGTATAGAAACTTCTTGTGAATATTTTTTTTATATTTGATCAGAAGATCAGTGAAAAAAGTTGGATTTTAGTATAGTATATTTATTAATTATTATATAATTTTTTCTATTAATTTTCTAATCACATACAAAAAAAATATTTGCAAGAAGTTTTTATACTTTTTAATTAATAAAGTCTTTTTATTTTCTTTAAAACAACTTGAAGCTTGTCTTCAAGAATTACTACTACTCTTCTCTACTTATTTACAAACTTTATTAAACAAAAACTTGAGTCTTTAATAATCTAAATAGACTCAAATATATACTTTCTTTATTAAAGATAAAAAGATTCTAGAAAATAAAAAAATCAACTTGTAAAGTGTCATCTTTTAGAGCTGGACATAATATAAAGATAGAGATTTTTTAGATAGAAGAAGGCTTATTATTTATCTTCTCATATATTGTTTTTTGCTTTCTTAAAATATTTATATTTTTTTTATAGTTTTTTGAGGAATTTTGCCTATTTCAATTTGACCCTAAATTTCTAATAGTTCAATATCACCTGGCTTCTGATTAGTTAATATGAAACATATTGGTAACAAAATATAAACAAGTTTTTATTAACCATACTCATATATTTCAATAATATCATTAGTAAAAAAAAGAGAAATTATTGATACAAAATTCTCTATTCAATCAATGAAGTATAATCAAAGTAATGAAATAATAAAATCATTATAATGAATATAAATTCCCTAGATTATAAAAAGATAGCTATTTGTTCAAGTTAAAATTTTCAACTTCCTATTATTCTGGTCAAACAAAATATATAAAAAAAATTATTTCTTTATCCTAATTAAGCAATAAGATCAAAAAGCAAAAGATTGTAAACTACTAACTTTTTTTAAGATTGAGAATATATTTTTTCAGATATTGTATAATGATATTATAATTGATAAGAATCCTTACTATTTAGAATTCTCTCTTATTATTGTAAGGCAAAAAGACTATTAAAAATTTTTTCTTTTTAGACAATGGAAAATGTTCATTAATAAAATTTTTTTAATTAAACATAATTGCTGAAAAATATCAAAAGTTATATAATATAATTAAAAGGTTATATAAGAACCCAAGATTTGGTATAAGCTATTAAGGTTTGCACAAAATAAATACAAAATCAATACTGAAAAAAAAATAGTGATAAATAAGGTACTAGATCTAAGTAAACAATAAATACTTCAGATAGTTACAAAAAATAATCAAGATTATAGATAGATAAGTTTCTTAAATGATCAGAAAAAAAAATATTTTAGAAAGATAGACTTTTAATAAAAAAAATTTTTAATAGAGATCATTTGGAGAATATAAAGTCTTTTTATTTTTATTTTTTATTTATTTATTTATATATATACAGTATATTTGTGCAATTTTAAATATTTATTTTCTTTTTATTTTTTTTTAATTCTATTATAGTTTCTTAAAATTAGTTTCTTTAAGAATAATAGGTAGTGACAATCTGCTGACAATGATAAGTAAATTACGAAGATATTTATTCAAAACTTATTTTGAAGCAAAATATAAGCTTATTTAAGAATTGAAAGCTATTGATAAGTAAGTCAATACAAAATTTAGTTTAGCTATAATGTAATTGCCTTATATATCTCTATTAATTTTCATATTAATTAATAAATATATAATACTGGCTTGATTATAGATATTAAAAAAAAACAATCAATAAATATATATTAAATTATTACTATATATTATAGTTAAACTAAATCTTATGCTAAATTATTTATTAAAAGTTTCAGTTTTTAAATGTATTCTTGAAAATTGTATTTTAAAGAACAATAAAAATTTTTTTATTAAATACAAATAATTTTTTTACAATTAAAAATTATTATATATATATATATAAAATTAATTTTAAAAATTTCAATTTTTACTATATCTATATAAAAATTTTAAAAATCATTAACTATTTGATTTAATTTATAATTTAATAAAAAAAATTTTTGGTGATAACAAAAATTATAAAAAATTTGATTTATTAAATTTATTCATTAAAAATTTTTTGATAAAATTTTTTTATTTATAATATACTGTATAATGAAAATTTAGATATCATAAAAAATTAATTTTTAATTTTTAAATTAAACAATTATTAAAATCCTTTAAAGACTTAATTTTTTAATTAATATATTTAATATATAATTTGATGATCAATAAACAAAATAAAATAAAAATTTATATTTATATTTTTTAAAATATAGAAAATTAAAATTATTTAGAAATAATTAAGTTTTTTGAATAGTTTGAAATCAGATAATATTTTAATCAGATAGATTTTTTTTAATAAATTAATTAAGAATTTTTTAAAAAAGGTTTGAATTGTTTTCTTTATTTTTCTTTTTCTACGTTTTTTTTATTTAACGATATAATAACAAATTGCTAATAATGATTTTGATAAATATTAATTTATTAAGTAAAATATTATTTTTAATATTATTTTTTAAATTTAATTTAGAATATTTTAGTTTAGACTTAATCCAAACTAATTTAATGAAATTCTAATATTTTTTTAAGTAATGAAATTCTTTAACAAATAATATTCAATCACAAGTTAACAAGTGACAAGAGAGTGGGAAAGTTGTCTTTCATCACACAAATACTTCTATAGAGTTTTTCTACAATGTGAGATAGTGGCACATTAGTTCTTCTTCTTTTCAGAACTTTCTTGCCATAGGTAGGAAAGATGCTTCTTGATTTTTAAGGTCACTATAGGTCAAGTTTATATTTATTTAAAGTCTCTCAATAAAGACATGCCATGATGGCATGATATAAACAAAATCATTAGACATATAACTATTTTTTAAAATTAACACTATCAATTAGCTTGGAATTGGTTATAAAATAACGAAAAATTAGTTATTTCATTAAAAAGTAATAATGTAATTGGACATAAAGCTGTCGAAAATAAAAATTTTGAGAGATCGGTCGAATTTTTTTTTTTTTTTTTTGAGAAGTTAAACCGCTTCTAATAATTTTAATAAGTTTTATTGTTGAAATGAGTGCATTGTTACAAACGGACATGTCATTGACATCAACAGGGTTAGAATAACGAGTACAAAAGAAACGATGCGATTGAAATTCGCCAACATGTTGCACGAAAGTTACTGTTTTTTGGTTGGAGGTTTGCTTTGTGCTTTAATAACCCTTTTGGCAATCTTCTCTTCTTCAATCAGGAAAGCCCTGACGATACTGTTTTATCAAGTAATAAGGGGATGGATGGTCACTTAAAATGCAAGATGAGTTCATAGATTCATGATGTCAACGCGACGAACGTACCGATCTCTCACGCATTTAGCGCATCGACTGCCACCGTATGCTCGCTGTACTGACTTTTGGCGTTTTGAGATTTGGGCATATTGACGTGGTCGAAGAGCCGGGATCTTTTGAAAAACAAAAAAAAGTTACAATTTCTACCATTTCTGCCGAGCACTTGATCAGTTCCTTAAACTGTAAATTATACCCCGGGAAGTCTGGTTCCACAGTCACCACAACGAGGGCCTCTAGCGGGTTTCTTTTCGTATTGCCAAGTAAGCTTACCACCTTAAATGAATAAAGTCAATTAGGAGCTGCACGCTTCATTGCAAGGAAGGATTACCAAAACACACCAGGAGTCTTAACCACTTTAACTCTATTCGATTTTGTATTGTAACTTAGCCGACGTCTGTAGGTCAGTCGTTGCGCCATTGCGTGCTTTTAAATTATTTGGTAAAGTGAGATTAATTAAAATTTTGATGGACTTGAATTGAATTGAAATTCATTCTCACCTTACCAATATTCCAGCGGATGGCAGAAAAAAAAATTTCGATTTAAAAAATTTTTTTGTGATCTTAAGTCATGTGAATTACAGTGGTACCAGATCAAAAAAGTGAAATTCAAAGAAATTTTCTTTTATTAAAGTGTTCGAAACGAAATGTCATATTTTCAATTGTCCGCTACTTTGGCTGGTCACGAATTGGACGTGAGTGTTGACATACATTTTCAAACAAGGTCGAACCTGGATCACAACAATTTTCATGACTCTAAGCGATGATCATGCCCTCAAGCGAGTTAATTTCGAAAATTGTGTGCGTAAAAGATCTAATTCTGGCACCTCGCTCCGTCATTTGTTTCTTTATAGGTTAAGGCTGTGCGCGGTCCGACCGAAGATCTCATTATATCCTCTTCTCGAGATAAAACGGTGCGCCTGTGGTCCAGAATATCGTCGAATACGTTTGGTGAAGATAAACTTTTTTTAGGCCACACTCATTTTGTGAATTCTGTTGCCTACTTGCGCCCAACTGCCGAGCATCCTAACGGTAAATAAAGACATTATGAAGCCCTTGACTTAAAATTTGATTTGCTTACTCTTTTTTTTTTTTTTTCCTAATGCAATTAGGCCTTATAGTTAGTGGTAGTAGTGATAAAGTCATTAATGTTTATGACATTGATAAATCTCAGGATCCCGTCTACACACTGTTTGGACACAAGGACAATATTTGCGCTTTAGACGTTACACCATCCGGTTATATCGTCTCCGGGTCTTGGGATAAGTACGTTTCGTAAAAAAACTCTCAACTCGGGATCGAAAGTTTATACGCATTTTGTTATAATGTAATATAGAACGGCAAAAATATGGAAAAATTTGGAAGTATCTTATACTTTGGAGGGACATTCGCTCGCAGTGTGGGCTGTATTAGCCGTTGATGACGACTTTATATTGACTGGCAAGTAATAAATGGAAGTTTGTTAAGAGTGAGCAACTTGAAGACTTCAAAATATCCGGCTAAGGCATTATTTAACTAGGGTCAGCCGACAAGTCTATTATAAAATGGCAAAAGGGAAAACGCATTCAAACCATGAATGGACATACCGATTGTGTAAGAGCTTTGGCTTTACTCCCAGACACAGGATTTGCATCTTGCGGGAATGATAGGTGATTTTAATTGACTTCTTTTTCTTAAAAAGACTTCATAAGTACGATCTTATTTAACAAGTTTTTTTCATGCTAATAATCAATTAGCACAATTCGCATATGGTCTTTTTTGGGACAGTGCGTTAGAGAGTTAAACGGCCATACATCATTTGTGTATTCCATTAGCGTTTTGCCCACCGGCGAGATCATATCGAGTGGCGAAGATCGATCCGTGAGAATTTGGAATGGTACATATTTAGCTATTATCTGATCTACCAATGCCTCGCATATAAAGTATTAAGGGAATTATTATGTCATAAGCCGGAGAATGTATACAAACAATCCTGCATCCCGCAACATCGGTGTGGTGCGTTAGCGCAATGCCAAATGGGGATATTGTAAGTGGTGCAAGCGATGGAGTAATTCGCGTTTTCACGAGGGATTCAGCGCGTGTTTCAGAACCAACCACCTTGAAGGTATATCTTTTAAATTTTTGCCTTCGAATTATTTTGCATATTATTTTATTTTATTTCGAGATCTTTCTTTGCGCAATTAGGAATTTGAAACTCAAGTGTCTAATCACGCAATTCCAGCGTATGTAGTCGATATTTAGATTTGGTGAAAAGGAAGATGCTTACAATGAATTTATTTACTTATCACAGTAATCAAATTGGGGATTTGAAAAAGGACGAACTTCCAGGACCGGAAGCATTGAATGCTCCAGGTAATCGTGGATTTTTTTTTGTCTTATAATTACAAGTTGTAATAAATAGATAAATAAATAACCGATTTATATAATGAAAAGGCAAGAGCGAAGGTCAAGTGATTATGGTTCGTGTTCGTGACGCAGTTGAAGCGCACCAGGTAAACGAACTACATGTTTTTACAAGTGTATAAACTTGTTAATATTATATTCCTGACTTGATACATTTTAACAATCACGTTAAAGTGGAGTCAAAAAGATAATAAGTGGCACAAAATTGGGGACGTAGTCGATGCTGTTGGTCAAGGGAGAAAACAATTATATAATGGAAGAGAATACGATTATTTGTTTGACGTAGATATTGGAGAAGGGGTCCCACCCTTGAAATTGCCATATAATGTTGCTGGTAAATTAATTAAACTTTCTTAGGCATATAATTAACCGATATTTTAATGTCTTATAAAATTTTTTTCCTCCCAAGATAATCCATATAAAGCGGCCCAGGAATTTATACAGGCTAATGAGCTTCCACAAGGTTATTTGGATCAGGTTGCTGATTTTATTGTAAAGAATACAAAGGGCGTTTCCTTGGGTTCTGGGTCACAATTTTATGATCCACTCACTGGTAACCTTCTCGCTGACTTTACATGCGTTTATCGGCGATCCTTCTGATTCTTATGTTCTTATAGGACCTTCTAGATATGTTCCAGGAGGTTCCACGAGAAATCCTAGCTACTCATCGTCACCATCTTCAACAGTTCCCGTGAGTTCAATTAAGTTTACGAAGTTATGTTCGCATTAAATACATTGTGTTAGTTCCTAATTTTAATTAGAGTCAGAATACTTTTGCGACCGGTATTGACCCTTGGACGCGGCCTGCTCTGTCACCAAACACTTCGGAGCCTACTAGAGTTATTCCGCAGGTGCGATAGAATCACCGTCAATTAATTTCCACTTTTACATTTTATCCATATTTATTTATTTAATATTTCAAAAATAAGCGAACTTATCTTACTTTCCGTCAAGCAAATTATCAAGCTATTTTAAAGAAAATAAATCAACTCAATCAGGATTTGCAAGACAGCGATTCTACTAATGACAGTGTCTTATCAACCAAAGAGTTGACCGCCTTGGAAGATTTAATTAAATTTTTGCAAAATCCAACTTTCAAGTCAAGTTCGACCGCAGATCGTCAATCGGAGTTTGCTGTAATTCACAAGATAGTCAGTCAATGGCCTTCTGCTAATCGCTTTCCTGGTAATTAATATTCAAACCCCTTTCAATGAGTTTTCTTTCCTACATCTACTTGACTTTAAACTTTTAAATAGGTATTGACTTATTGCGACTTCTCATTTTATATTCACCGATTCCTGCACAATATGACGATATTGATGGAAGTATTGTCAGTCTTCTGATTGATTCTGCTGATATAAGGTCTTGGGATGAGGGTAACTCTCCTACCAAAGAACAAGAAACCAATACGATGCTGGGTTTGCGTGCGCTAGCAAATTTATTCGATAACAAAGAAGGAAAGGAAGTCTTAAGACGCAAGGCTCAAACGGTTTGTATAATTTCTTATGCTAAGTTTATGAAATTTCGAAATTGACATTTTTTTTTGCATATAGATTATTGAATTGATCTCACCAATATTGGGTAGGACCACGAATAAAAACCTTCGTATAGCTCTGGTGACGGTGTTCCTTAAGTATGGTTTTTTTTTTATCAATTTATAAAAAATGATTTAATATGATTTAATGCAACGTACCTTAACGATTTTATTTTGATTATAATCAAAGCTTTTCTGTTGAGTTTCGAACGAACCCTGATGAGGATGCGACCCTTCAAATTATTGCAACTTTGGCCGAGGTACTCTACGCTAATCGAAGCTAAACAATTTACTTCTGATTAATTATTTGATTTTTTCTAAGAGGCTATGTAATTATTAATATAGGAATTGAGTTCTGAAACTGATTCGGAGGTCCTGTACAGATCCATTGTGACCTTGGGCACTGCGGTAGCTTTTTTTCATTGGTTATTACCTGATTTTCGTATATATTATTAGTTTTATTGAAATATCTTATACTACGTAGATAAGTAATAATCAAGCTGCCAAAGAAGCAGCCGAGATATTTAATGTGAAAGATTCAGTAAAGCTTGCATCCACGAAAATGGCGGAAGCGAGAATTACGCAGGTCACCGGTAAGTTTTTTACGGCTTACTCTTGTTTTTAGTGCGCTGATATTTAACTAACGACTATAAATGATAAAGATGAGTTGAACAAGTTGATTTGAAAAAAAGAAATCGCGGTCATAATAAGATAAATATACATGGTTACGCGAAATTGCATATTGTTGTAATTTAACGGATTGAATATATAAAGTTTAAAAAAAAAAACGACATAAAATAAATTACCAGGTTAAAAATATTTGACCATATTCGAACTTGGAAATAATGTAAAACACTGAAACTTAATAAAAACGTCATCAAACCGTCACAACTTCAATCATGATTTACCTACCGATCGTCACATTAAGCGTTTGTAAAAATTAACATTCATCAAAAAAAAAAAAAAAAAACACGTTTGAAAATGATATAAAATTTTTATTTTGCTATGCCCTTGAATTTATTTGTTTGTTGGAACCTGCATTGAATAAACGTAAAATTAAAGCTTGCTAAGAAATTTTTTAATACGTATCGATATTTAGTAATATCAGATATGAAAACCCTTGAAAATTTATTGAATTAAGAGTTACGCATAAAATTTTATTTATTTACTGTAGAAATTTAATTTTATATTAAACAAATTTGGTTTCGCAATGAAAATCTGGATGTATAATTATTGCACAGTATGTACTTTGTAAATTTCAATATTCGACAATTAAAACATCAAGGCTCGCTTAACTTTTAAAACCTATAGTTATTATTTAAAGTCACATGTTTCGTTTTTATTATTAATTTGCATTCAAAAATAAAATCATCTTATATTCTTTAAGCATTTAAATGTTTTTAAAAATAAAATTACGATTCTTATTTATATTTTATATTTTAAAAATTCTCATGCATGTTAGAAAATCGCATCGCGATTTAAGCAATTAGCTAATGAAACATGACTTAAAGTCTGCGCGCGCGAATACAGTAATCGGAGAGAAGTAAAATTAATATCATAGTGTACGCTTACAAAACATGAAGAAGATTTAGAAATGTGAACAGATAGTCTGAATGTGTAGAAAAGGTGACTCTTTTCGCTCGTAAATTAGATAGAAAGCCTTTGGTCAGTCATAATATATAAAATCATACTTATAATAAACAGAAATTAAGATTCAAAATGTGTTTATTCATAAAATTTTAATTGGTTTTGCTTGTTCACAGATTTATTCTATGTTACCAATATGAAATGCATCGAAATAGTTTCTTGAGTTCTATATAGTTTAAGGTTAGGCTTAAACGTGATTAAGGAAGAAAACATGGTGGACGTACTTAAATAAATTCTCTACTAATTTGATTTACACAAATTTCTTTTCGTGTACATTTACTTTGATTTATTTTAAAAAAAATCGGATGATAACCTTAACGTTTAGATTTTGACGTTTAGCTTCAGCGATTGCTTGTCTTGCCGAATTTCCTATATTATTTCCACTAACATCTAAAACAGTCAGGGTGGTATTCTTGCATAGAGCCTCAGCCAGTGCCCTGAGTGCCGAATCTCCTATATTGTTACCACGAATATTCAAATTGGTCAGGGTGGTATTCTTGCATAGAGCCTCAGCCAGTGCCCTTCCTGTCGAATCTCCTATATCGTTAT